TTGACCCCTGAGTACCTATGTGTCTTGCTATCAAGAATTTTACTGATAACTACATAACCTTTGCCGTATGTGTCACTAAAAATTTTAGAAAAATTTAGAATTCTTTCAATGATATCCAACAAAAATAACGAGCGTTCAAATAAAAACATGGTCGAAGTTGGCTCTGACACATTGGACGTAGGGAGTAGCTTATAGCGACCAACTTAACCTCATTTCTCAACGAGCTGTATAGCAGCTGTTGACTATATAACTTTATTTTAAAGAATAATTGTGATAACAATAACAAACAATTAAAGGAGCTGCGGAAAGTGTCCCCCTCCTTGTTATAACAATAAATTAAAGCAGCTGCTGAAAGTGTCCCCCTCCTTGTTCCAACCATTTTTAACACCTGTTCCTCAAAGAATTAAAGACATTTTCTAAGATGCTCGGGGTATTGTTAATTTCACGAATCTTGTCTATAAGTCGAGCCTGCAGATGGTTTAAATCAGGAATAGGCAGTTCAAAAATAGTGTTTTTAAGGTAAGGCCACAAAAAGAAATCACACGGCGTAATATCACATGACCTCGGTGGAATTCATGTTCAGCATTGAGACTTATTAGTCGATTTTGGAAAACTTCTCTCAACATATTCATCGTCTAGCCTGCCGTATGTGCCCTTGCGCCATCTTGTTGAAAGTAAAAGTTTGTAATTTCGTTTTCTTCCAGCTGGTTAACAAAAGGAGCGATAATTTCTTCTCTATACCTTTGCGCAGTAAGAGTACCATTAAAAAAAATAGGTCCATAAATCCTCCTTCGATTGAGAGTACACCAAACTCCAATTTTTTGAGCGTGTAGAGGGCCCTCGACAAAAATGTTATCTGGTTTTTCAGAAGACCACATTATCATATTCTGTGAGTTTACGTAACCACTTAAATGAAACCAGGCTTCATCAGAAAAAAAGGTGAAAGTTCACCGTAGTTGTTTAAAAACCATTCACAAAATACAGCCCGTCGCGAAAAATCAACTTCATGAAGTTCTTGCTGACAAGTTAAACGATTGGAGAACAAACGCAAATCTTTTTTTAACACCGTGTGGCAGGTACCGACTGATATTCCCACCATTTGTGATAAAACACGTACAGAAGTTCTTGGCGCATTTTCCATTATTTGTTGGACATTTTCTTTTAATTCTTCAGTCCGCTTTTTAGGTCGGCCGCTTCCTTCTTTTCTTGTTACACTGCCCGTTTCACGAAAAACATTAACACAACGCTGAACTGCACTTTGAAAAAAATTTTGTACTCAACAACGCCGGGAAATTGATTTTGAAATTCTCTGAAACATTCCTCAATAGAATACTTCCATATTCCATCAATCTTGCGTCCATTTCTAAAGTAGGACTCTATGATAAACACTTTTTGTTCTTGAGAAAACACCATTTTAAACGCTTTTTAAAACGAAAATATTCAAATTGATAGCGGCGATATAGCGCTTTGACAGATGACGTTTAAGTTCATTTGCTATACGCTACGCCCTACGTCCAAATTTTCAGAACCAACTTGACCACGTTTTTATTTGAACGCTCGTTACTTTTCAAGTTTTGAGAATATTTTTATATTATTACTTTTTAACATTCAACGTACTTTTTAACATAGATTAAATTGTCCATAATGTCCAGGTTTCATATTTTCAACTTTGTATACCTTCTGCTTTTAGTATTTTTTAGCTTTTAAAAGTCATAAGCTGTTTTATACAGTCTTGTAGATTTTTGATAAATAGGAGCGATACTACGCTTTCTGCGGCTTTCGATACTTCAACTTCATTTATGTTTAACATTTGAGTCGTAATTTTAACCCTGAATTTTCAATAGAATCAAAAATAACTACGGTGTAACGAGGCTCACAAAGAGAGATTATTATAATAACTTATGAGATGAGTCATTATGTTTACTGTAAACTTCTATTTAAACCTATTAAAAAAGCAAACAATAACATCATTGTTTCCAAGATATACACATTATTTTTTCATATAAACAGTATAGATTGGTGAACATAACTGATATACGTAAATATTATATTTTTAACTGTTATATTTGAAATAAACTATTTGTTTAGTGATGTTTAATTATAATTGCTACACACAGGGTGTTTGGGACAAACATTAACGGTACATATTTTATTAATATAAATTTTAAGAGCTCATTTTTGAATGGTGAAAAAGTGAAAAATATAGTATCGGATTGGAGTGATTTCTTCAAATAACGCATAAAGAAGATATGCGAAAAGTCATATCGTGAAAAGTATTGAGAGACACAAAGACGATATGGCGTGCTATAACTTTTGACAAAAATGTAACGTCATATCAGTGTCACTGGTTTGAACTGCTACTTAATTTTTTTCTTCTTGAATTCATACTTTATTCAGTATCTATTTATTCAGAATAATTTAGAGATATACACCTAGTGCGCGTAAGTCCAATATCTAGGTTAATAAAAGATATAACTTAATTTTTTTCTACAGAGTTGCCTACTTTCCCGAGCTGCACAAAATGAAAATATATTGGCATATGCAGGGTGTTCAGTTTTTCCTGGGCACGTACCAACTTAATTTTTTTTAATGGAAACCTATATTTTTTATGGCATTATCGAATTCTACTTGAAAAATTAACGGCACTTTGTGATCCCTATTAAAATATTGATAGTTTTCGAGATAACCGACTTTTCATTTATTTTTTTTTTCCTATTGTTTCGTCACTTCTAGTATTTAACATAATTATGATTGTATGGCAGCTAGAAATTGTTGTTTTTCAGGAACTGTAGAGTGAAGATGGCACTTTCCAAAACGTGACCTGCGGTATACAAGGGACAAAAAAAATCGTGCCAAACCTGATAATTTAAAATTTGAAAAATCTCGACTTTTTCAAATGGAACACCCTGTGTTTTATGATTTCATTAGATGCCTTTCTGTAGACCCTACAATTTTTTAATAGCGTTCCCTATACCTAAGTTGCGTAGTTTTTGCAAAAAAAAAACATTTTTATGTAAAATACCGGATATGCGCCCGTTCCTTTGTCGGGGAAAATATTGTAAGAGTATTTATTTTAAGTTAGCTTGCGACTATGAGTATTCTTTATTCAAAACTCTATTCATCCAAATTTTTTAATCCAATTTCACTAATAACTTTCCTAACTACGGTAACAGTGCTTGATTTTCAATATGATACGGATGAAACTTCTTCAATATTTTATTTGTCAAGCTTTTGAAAACTCCAAATTTCCTGGCACTAATACTTGGATTTTCAACAGCAGACGCCACAACTTTAAACTAAATATTATCGTTGTTACTTTCATGTCTCCTGGTAGTTTTCTCATAATTCGCATTTGCTGTTCATTCAAACCTTTCCTTCACATTTTCAAAACAGTGGGAATCTCTGTAAATTTGGATTTGCTTTGTAAATACGTGCTGCTAGCAGACATTTCCCATATTTTGCTAATTCTTAATCACTTGTAGCGATTTTATAATTTTTTGATTTTATTTACAAATAAATGGTAACTTTCCATAAAGACTTATTTATTAAACTCAAATCTAAATTTTTCAGTTATTAATTTTTATTTTAAATAGTGTAGCTAGACAACTAACAAATTTAATAAAAATAAATACCCTTACAATATTTTTCCCGACAAAGGAACGGGATCAAATCCGGTATTTTACATAAAAACTACGCAACTTAGGTATAGGGAAAACTATTAAAAAATTGTAGGGTCTACAGAAAGGCATTTAATGAAATTATAAAACACAGGGTATTCTATTTGAAAAAAATCGAGATTTTTCAAATTTTAAATTATCAGGTTTGGCACGATTTTTTTTGCCCCCTGTATATCGCAGGTCAACTTTTGATACGTTTTTTGAAAGAGCCATCTTCACTCTACAGTTCCTGAAAAAAAATAATTTTTAGCTGTCATACAATCATAATTATGTCAACTACTAGAGTGACGAAACAACAGAAAAAAAAATGAAAAGTCGATTATTTCGAAAACTCAATATTTTAGTAGGGATCATAACACAAGGTCCCGTTAATTTTTCACGTAGAAATCGATAATGCCATAAAAAATATAGGTTTCCATTTAAAAAAAATTAAGTTATATTGTTTATTAACCTAGAAATTGGACTCACGCGCACCAGGTGGACACGGTGTATTTTTCTTGAATTTGGACCAGAAAAACAATTCTTCAGTTTTGACCTGTTGTGGTACAATAATTAAATGATAACGAAAAGTAAAATGAAAATATAAGTATGTGGGAAAGATGGCGATATTAATTTTATAAAGTTTATATTTCGGTAGAATTTTTACCTGATATAAACATGATAATAACGTTCTTAATATTCCTAAGCAGACTAACTACTTATACTATTTGAAAGCAGTTGACTTTAGAGGAGTTACTCGGTATTATAGATTTTTCTGTCTGTAAATTAATAGACCTTCCACAGCAAGGTTAGGCACATTGTTATTTGAAATTTGTGTTTGTCTCAATATCCCTAATTTTAAATGGGCAAACACATTTTTGAAGTAAATCTATGCCACTTAAAAGAATTAAAAAGTAACGAAAATGTCCGTAGAACGTGATTTAAAATGTTTTAATATGTACAACGGCTGATTCGCCAAGTTTCGTCGAAGCTAGCCATGATATTGTTCACGGTTAAAAGCGTTATTTTCTTGTTTGGTAAAACCGGAATGCTGTGTCGTCATTGGTTTCGTAATGTTTATTTATAACAAATTCGTAACATATATTTATCAGAAACTGCGTCTGGAACCTTTGACTCTTAACATTTCTTATCTGCATTAATCAGAAACTTTCGTGTTTTGAATATACCGTGTTGCCGGGCAAAGATGCATGGTTTTTTTACACATCACAACAAATAAGAAATTGATACCGTTTATCTAAAAACAACTTACCTCTAACTGGAAATATACACGTTATTGGAGTTAAAATTAAATTCAAAATTGTAAAACTAATTTTTTTGTTGCAGTTGGCTGGATTGGCGCTCGTTATAGTTGGAATAGTTTTCAAATTGAACGTAAAGGAAGTCACTGGAGTGTTACCATCGGATTTAGGCATTGCCCCAATTCTGTCCATCATAATTGGTATCATTGTCTTTATCACCGCCTTTCTGGGATGCTGCGGAGCCGTAAAAGAGAGCACATGCATGCTGACCTCGGTAAGTACCCTGTGGAATCCCCACATCTTGCTTCAAAAAAAATAATAATAATAACGGGCAACATTGCCTAACTCTACCGAACCGTTTTTTACTGATTTTTGTAATTTCAGAGGAATACATGGAAAAACGTTTTATACAGTTCGATATAAATCAATGTTGGAAAACCCTTGATAAAAAAGATACAAGTTGTAAAAGACATGTTAAAAAAATGTTTATTTTATTTTCCGGTTTCTTCAAATATTGAAACCATATTTTGCACCTTTTACATCTTGTATCTTTCTTATTAAGAGCCTCGGGATATTTATTTGTATGAAACCTTTTGATTAAAATTAATTTTTCTCTTACCTGTTTCATTTTTCTGGTACTTAAATCGGGTATACCCTGTATATATTAAATACATCCTAATAAAATCTTATAGTTTCATTAATACTTTAAAAATATGCAGTAGAAAATGAAATTTTGAAAACTTCTCTTCTTCTTTGTCTTTATTGAATAACTATTGGAGGTTTAATTTTCCGATTCCCATTAAATAAATTGTTAAGTTGCATCGACTAGAATACTTTAAATTTTTTTGATTTATTTTACATTTGAATAAGAACATAATTTTTTCGTAATTGTCCATGTTTTAGCTACAAAATCACCAATCGATGGAGGATATTAATTTAAGTAGTACCTGAATATTTAAAGCTTCTAATAGTTGTAGTTACAAATTTTCAAAAAAGGAGACAATTGGAGTTGTCTATGAAAGTTAAAGAATACCATGTGTGCTACTTTCTGCTACAGATACTTCACTGTAATAAAAATATATTTTTTTTGTAGAAATATACGAACATTGATTTTCTACATTTTTTAAAATATCGCAACATCTATTTGTAGATGTTTTCAAGGCCTTCTGAAATAACTTAATTTTAAAGAACAAATGATGAAAATAGAACGTGTTGAAAATGTATTTTCTTGAGCGAATTTTTTATTTAACATGCTCTGTGTTTTTTATAAAATAGGAAACAGTTTTCTGAAGACCATATTTGCTCTTCTATTCTAACATGAACTTAGATATTTAATGTGGCGTTTCGTCTTCTGACGACCAACATCAGTCTCTCTTTTTTTTAAATACAAACCTATTAATAATTTGCGCATTCTTATTTCTTACTTTCTTGTGAATCCAGTGATGTACAATATGATACTATTTAGTGATGTTTCGGACCGTAAAATTCATCATCAGTGTTATTTTCCTTTAAATACGAAAACCATGGCTATTTACAAAAAGTCCCGTAAACTGAATATATTTTCGATTTCTCTCCGGGTTATTATTATTTACTAAATTATCCAACTTTTCTTTTGCCTTGACGTTTCTTTTTTCTTTCAGTACGCCGTCATTCTCCTCACCATATTCATCGTCCAAGTGGCCATCGCTGTGTATCTTTTCATCCAAGTCAAAGACACCCGCGAATTCCGCAATACAATCACTAACAATGTTCAGAAGACGTTCGACAGCAGATTCAAGAACCCTGAAGCTAACGAGACCATGCATGTCCTTGAAAACTTCGTAAGTTTAACTAGATTTTGTGTTACCATGGAAATAATAACCTCTAATTTTTAATTTCAGTTGACCTGTTGCGGTGTCTATGGACCTGATGACTACAATAATTTCCCGCTTCCTCTCAGTTGTTGCAAGCGTCACATCAACAATGAGTGCCTCAAAACCGAAGTAAACCACGATGGGTGCGCCCATAAACTAACCAACGAATTGCAGGATAAAGCCCAGCTGGTTGGTGGTGTAGCCATTGGTATTGCTGCTGTTGAAGTAAGTAATGTCTTACGGTAACTTGTTTTGTTGCAGAAAGATTCTTGAGTTGCATTTTTTTTGCAAAAATCCGCTCTAATTAGATCTTCAGTTATTGAAAAAAAATGTTGAAAAGTGATATTAGCCATATGTTACCATTAGCAATGAAACTGAAATACATATTTGTATGTGGTCATGATAAGATAAAACCAGTGGCAGATTTAGTCATCCTCAGGACTGAGGCTGAAAAAAAATACAAACAGCTAATTATTATCGGAATCAGAATCGGGATACACCGGAAACTAAAGACGAAAAAAAAAAGAAAGAAAATTTGAAAACAAAAGAGTAAGAAACAAAAGTTAACCATAATCTCGTTAGTCTGAGCAAAGCGAGAGACTTCTTTGGCTAAATTGAGCGATTGGGTCCATTTTCATCCTAAATATAGATTTTACAAGATTTCAGCTCATCAAAATGCGTCGGTAATGATATGTCAGATCTTTTAGTTTGGACGTGTTTGTGTAGCAGACATTCTGTTAACCAACAATAAATGTTAGGGGGGGGGGGTGTAATAATTGTATAGGGGGTGTAATAATTCGTTCCCGTAGTACATCACTCATCTCACTTATTTCAGAAACACCCTATATTTACAAGTTTCTATTAAATATTAATAATTCTCACCCTATTATGTAAGTACTTTCGACTTACTTAAATTCTCTTAAAGTAGTTATAAATTTTAAACCCTTTTTAATTTAACACATTGTAAAGTAGATGCTACCCTTTATACATGGGTCATCATAAAGCAGTTTATCTCGTCAACAGCCGGGTCATTGGCCAGAAAGCAAGAAGGTATATGAAACAAATATCGAAGTTACTGTTCTGTCAATAAAAAACAAATAAATAGGTAACTCACCGAGGGGTTACACTCCCCCTAAGTTTAGGATTCCTTCCATACGTTTCCATTATATTAATTGGCAACGATGTAACATTCTTTCTTCAACAACTAGCTAGTGTCACCTGAAATATGTCCTGCGGACGCCAACTAGTTAGCATCCCATCATCCCAACTACCGGGTGTGTGTCATATTAATATGCCACCTACCTCAACACCACCCAGTATGTGTCAATCGAAGCGCCGGTAAGACCCCGTAGTACTTACAAGGCATATACTTCGAAGGAACCACAGCCATTAAAACCGGGAACACGTGGCGCGTCCTGGGGTTTTCATAAACATAAACGAATGTGGCATATTACTCACAAATTCACAATTCATTGAACAAATGTATTTAAGCTAGCACACACATAATAATCAAAGAACACCTTCTCTTAGTGTCGGCATTCCGGGCTACATTTTGGTACTCATAAATTACATTATCTCAAGAGCAAATAAACACTTGCTGGCGTATTCCGTGTGAACAGCTAAGGTTTGATCAAAACAACAATTTTCATTATAAAATAAAATATGGATTCCTATTATTTCAATACTTTAAAAATATACAAGTGTTACAACATATTTTTAATATTTAGGCAAGGTTTTGATAATATACTGGTAATCTGTAGTAATTCGATTCTGGACAAAGCTCCAGGTAGCCACTATCCCAAATCGCCGCGCCTATAGTCCGTTTGGAAATGAAAGAGAGTAATAAAACCCCGAGATAAGTACCGGCCATGGGCGTGCTAATATTTCGTTTCAGGTAATTATCGGGTAACACTAATGCTAACAGGTAATGGGTGTACATGAGTATATTTTACTGGATACATCATAGGGCAGGAGCCAGTGTATTGTGACAGATCAATTCAGTCTTAGAGCTGAATATACGAAGACGTGCTAGCGCAGTAGAGTAAAATTCTACTTGTGTTTATAAAGTACACTCATTTTATTTTAAAAAAGAAATACCAACGCTAAACAAAATTTTAAGTGAACTTTCAGAGGACAACGATTTGCCAAAAATCAGTAGAAGCAAATTATGGGCCGTCTTACGAGAGTTGAATTTTTGCTGGGAAAAGCAGAACAGGAAGTCAGTTCTTATCGATAAAGATGAAATTATTTGTTGGCGAAGATCCTACTTAAGATCAATTAGAAAATTCCGTGACGAAGGGAGGAATATTTATTATCTAGACGAAACTTGGGTCAACGAGGGATATACTGTAACAAAAGTATGGCAAGATAAAAATGTAAAAAGTTTTCGACAAGCATTTTTGGATGGACTTTCAACAGGGTTCAAGGCACCTTCAGGTAAAGGGCGAAGATTAATAGTGACACATATAGGTAGTGCCAGTGGTTTTGTAGATGGCGGTTTACTTTTATTTGAATCTAAAAATACAGGTGACTATCACGAAGACATGAACGCAGATGTTTTCGAAGAGTATTTTACACAGATGTTGGATCTTATTCCTCCGGGGTCTGTAATTGTCATGGATAATGCCAGTTACCATTCACGGCAGACCGAGCGGACGCCTACGACTGCTTGGAGGAAAGCCGATATAATTCAATGGTTATCCGGAAAAAACATTTCTTTTGAAACAAATATGGTGAAAAAGGAACTTTTGACACTTGTCAATCTTAATAAAGATCAGAAAAAATATGTTATCGATGAAATGGCAACAAATCGCCAAATAACGGTACTACGGTTACCACCTTATCACTGTGAACTTAACCCAATCGAATTAGTCTGGGCGCAGGTAAAAGGAGATGTAGCGCGAAATAATACGACGTTTAAATTAAGTGACGTGAAAATTTTGTTAAAAAATTCCTTGGAACGAGTAACTGCAGATAACTGGCAAAGATGTATACATCATGTACAAAAAGAAGAGGAGAAAATGTGGGAACTCGATAATTTAATTGACGTTACTGTGGAACCTATCGTTATCAATCTAGGAGACGAAGATAATTCATCAGAATATTCAGAGGATGAATTTTAATATACCTACTTTTTTATTTTCTTTATTGTACATTTATACAACACTACATTTACTCACCATAATTTGAATTTTCAAAATACATATATTTTTGTGTGGAATAAAAGTCTATTCATTAAATTTAAATAAATATTTTGATAATAATATTGAATAATTTTATTTGAATTACTAAAAACCCTCTTAACCCGGTTATGATGCTTAAAGTAGCCTCATGTTTTGAAATGCTGTTTTTATATTGTTTACTTATAAGAGAAATGGACCGAGAAATTGAAGCGGCATAGACAAAGACGGATTGTCGGGGATTAAATTTTAGCTACCTGCTACAATTTAGTACAGTCCGATCGCACAAAGTTTCGTTAAAAGTAGATCTCATGTATACCGAAAATGCATAATATAAAAATATTGAATATAAGTACTACATTTATTTACGATTTGCATACATAATGAGCTTTTATTACTCTCTTTCATTTCTAAACAGACTATAGCCTATGCCTTACCATATTCATTCTTGCCGTATGCGTTCTTTCTCAATCTCGTGCAGCTCTGCATGAGTTAGAAACGCAAACTATGCAAACGGTCTGACACTATATCATAAAGAAATGTTTGTTTTATTAAGGAATAAAGCCGAACAAAAACAATTTAAAGCCTTTGCAGACTGAACTGTTGCACATAACCGATCATGTTGTCAGCATTTTTAACTTTCGATTTGGTAAGAATTAAATACAAACTCTTATCTGTCTACAGAAAATTTCATTGAACCTATGTTGATGAGTACAAATTTAAAGGGTTTAATGACATTTTATCACAATTTTTTATAATTGTTTCACAAATACAATATTTGGTTTAAAAAGCGAATTTAATGATTTCTCGCTTGAATTAATACAATGGTAACTATATTTTTTTCAGGTTATCGGTGCCGTCTTCGCCTTGTGTCTAGCAAGTTCGATAAGGAACACCTATAGAAGACATACGTATGCTTGAATCAAATCTACCTGAAGAAATAACACGTAGGATTGTTATAACTCGAATGTATTGTAAAGTAATACTACCTTATAAGATTGTTTTTGTTTAATATATTTTAGTTACTTTATGACAATGTTGCAAAGCTGTATTTTTGTATAACAATATTTATCTAATGTGTAAAATTTTGTATCTCGAATTTTTGTTACTTCTAATACGTAGTTTGTATGTTTACCAAATAAATTGAAGTTACTTTCCAATTGATCTCTTCATTCGGTAGAAATGCAGAAAATAGTAAAATGAAAATACTAAAAAGTATATGAATAAATAAAAAAATAAATAAATATCTACAAAGAAGAAATATAAAGAATTGAATGAAAATAATAGAATAGAAGAAATAATAGGAATGGTAGAATAAAAAGGTAAGTTATAGTAGAATGAAATAAAACATTTTGAGGGTGAGAGATATTATTATGGAAAAGATAATATATTATGAAAACTCGCCTACTTTGTTGATTTTTCAATAAAGAATAGTGGTCTTATGGGACTTTGGGCCCACAGTGTCCAAGTTTGAAAAGTGTATAAAGTTGTAGTACTTGGTCTACCAAAGAAAAAGGTCAATGGCCATAACCCCCAGAAATTGAGATTGGTTTGTTTTCAAAGCTGCAGAAGTTAAAAAATTACTCTGACCCACAAATGAAATAAGTCATGCGCAACAGACTAAATCATGGTTTTTCTATGTATTTTGGTCCGCTAAACCGAATCTGACCTCAGTTCGGCTTTACTCATGAATTTTTCAAATATTTCAAAAGTGTACTTTTGCCATAGTCCAGTCTGTCACGGACTTATGTTAAATTTACAAAAAATACCAGAGGGAAACAAAAAAACATGGTGATATAGGAAAAAAAAATTCTAAGAAAGATGGCCTGTGGCGCACAAATGGCGAAGTTAACCTAAAAAATTCATAAAAGTCAAAAAAACGCTTTTCGCTAATAAAAAAAACTTGAACTCCAATCGAAAATAGTTAAATAAGAAAGTTCTAGCTATTAAAAGAACTATCGATTCGTATTTTTAATTATATCGATCGCTAAATTTTCGAAATATATCGGAAAAAACTATCAAAAATTGACTATTTTGTTTTTCATGTATTTCTTACAAATTAAGGTTTTGAAACTTGTTACTTACTGTAAATGTAGCCCTCGGCAAGCAAAAAAGTACCTTTTTTAAAAATTAAAAAATATTAAAAATTTTTCGAGTTATATCGATTTTTCGAAAAAAAGGTTATTTCGAAAATCGGCTCTTCTTGCTCGACGAACAGTCGTAGAGAAACGAATCAGGGCTCATTTTTGTTTCCTTAAGAGTTCTACTTTCATGGTAAAAAAGAGTGATAACGATTTTATTCAAGTGTCCAAAGACGACTTTGAAAAAAGTAAAAATTTTTTGCTAGCGTTTTTCATGAATATGTTTTTCCACTTTCATATCTCGGTAATGTCTATCACAGGAATCGATCGCTGGCATTTTTATGCGAATTTAAAAAGGAACGTTGCTCTACGACCTTCTGGAGCCGAGATAATTTTTTTTTAAAAAATTTCCAAAGGCCGCTATTTAAGTGCTACAGAGATTGAAGTTGAAGACTTAATTGTGCGTCAAACCGAAGCAATCGAGCCGGGGGGGGGGGGGTAACGCTACTTGGCCGCTCCGAAAACTGAATTCTCCCGTTCAATAGCGCTCTTACTTTCAAAATCTTCATTATCTCGACTTCTGGACCACGTACAAAAATTCTTTTGTACTTAATTTGTACTTAGTAGCTGGACGAGATAAACCAACATATGACGTTTACGACAGCCTCAAAAGTATAATTATCTTGAAAAAAAAATATGTAGCTGCGTTAACGGTTGTAAAAAAAATTTTTTGAAATGTACAAGTGTTTGTTTACATTGTGATGCATCCCAAAATGAGCCCTGATTCGTTTCTCTACGACTATTCGTTGAGCAAGAAGAGCCGATTTTCGAAATGACTTTTTTCTCGAAAAATCGTTATAAGTAACTCGAAAAATTTAATAAATTTTTAATTTAAAAAAAGGTACTTTTTTGTTTGCCAAGGACTACATTTACAGCAAGCAATAAGTTTCAATACCTTGATTTGCAAGAGATACAGCAAAAACGAAAAAAGTCGATTTTTGACAGTTTTTTCGATATATGTATCTTGAAAAGTAATATAGCAATTGATATATTTAAAAATACGAAGTCTTTTTAATAGCTACAACTTTCTCATTTAACTTTTTTCGATTGGAGTTCAAGTTTTTTTTATTATCGAAAAATCGTGTTTTGACATTTATTAATTTTTTAGGTTAACTTCGCCGTTTATGCGCCACAGGGAAAATACACTAACTTTCTTAGAATTTTGTTTCCTATATCACCATATTTTTTTTCCAGGTGGTATTTTTTGTAAGCTCTTCTACCCATTGATTGGACTATAGATGGTTAGATACTCTAAAGTTTAAGATGTTTAATATCATTTAATAACGCTCTAATGGATACCTCTTATTGCTTTATTATCTTCATCAGAATACCCTTGCAAAACTGGCATTAGCGATGAATCTTCGGCGGGTAGTCTTATTGACTTATTGTTTTTTGGTATTGCTCATGTCTTATATACCAAATAACTGTCATGATGACCTGCTCACGACATCCTACCGTTCATACATTGACAACAGTAGCCACGAATGGCTTCTGGACCTGCCTTGTCTAAATCTATAAAATGTAAGAAATGATTGGTCCTCCTGCGGAAATCGCTCTTCCCTTATAGTAAGCGACTTCTGTTTTTCCTCTCTGTTTCTGAAACGGTCTAATTTATAGAAAACCGGAGGTCATATTTGTAATCAGCATACCAAACCACATAGGACAGAATACTTTTCTAAAATGTCTGTTAATTTACGAATTTTTGTGGAACATTTCGGGTTATATTCGATTCGGTTCGAGACACATTTCGAATTTCGAACGCCGATAAATTTCTAGAACGAGAAAAAGTATACGAGGTTTGTTAAAAATATATACGAGATTTGTTAAAAAAGTATTGGCAATTTTCAAATCGCGCTTCTTTTATCTTGTCTATGTGGTTATTTTTTTTTTGTACATTAGTCGCACTGTCAGTGACATATTTTTTTATTTTTAAGCAGCTGCTACGCTTGGTTTGTGTTTAGCGAGCGGATCAGTAAGACTTACCCCAGTGTTTTTGGCAATTTGTTGTGTGGCGAAATATTGGATCAGATAGTTTGCTGTTGTTTGTGTTAAAAACGAAATTATAGCAGCAAAGTGTTCAAAATGTTCACCTTTGAGCGGGTATTTTTTATTTTGTGAACTCTATTTTGCGGTTTGTCAATAGTTGAATGTCTGTTAATTTACCAATTTTCGTAACAGGTACCTTTATTTTGACGTTTTGTAGAACATAGCGGGCATAGCGAGATACATTTTGAATTTCGAACGTTAATAAATTTTAGAATGAGAAAAGCATTACTTCAGCATGAGATAGAATAATCATAAATGAATAAAAAAATTCAGGGGCGTATGACGTTTTCCAAATACAGCGAGTATTAATATTGGGGAGTTTCATCACAAAGTGACAACAGCGCTTAACCTGACGCTACACATCTGATGTATACCACGTGTGCACGCGGCAGACTTGTCCTACGGAGAAAATGTAAACAACTATTATTGTGAAACATTTAGTAAATTTCAAGAGAATTGTTTTCCCGTTTTTAAAGAAATTAAATAAAATGTATCGATTTTGTAGTAGGAAGATAGTGTTGTGCAAATTATGAATTTGAAAAATATACAATTAAAGTACCCAAAGATTCACGTCGTCCAAATAATCATACGTTATATTAAAAATAATTTATAGGTACTTACCAAAAAGCAAAATTAACTAATTTTTAAACGCAGAAATATAAAACAAACTACAACATATGCTCAAAATGTCCATCACCACGACACCTTCGAATCCAATTTTTACTCACTCGCTGGAAAACACCTCAAGAAAAGGAAATAGTGCTACGCAAAAAAACACTCAGACATGATCCAATTCCAGATATCAACTGCTTAGTACCTGGTGTTGTACGCCGCGCCGTTGTCACATTGCTCGATATGAATTTTATCGAATTTTAAATTTATTACAACGCTAATTATTTTTTAGAATTAAGCATGAAGAAGTTCAAAAATGTGATAAACATTGTATTTGGTTGAGTTGAAATGGTTTAGTTTAGGATCCACGTCACACAAGGTTTATTTTAATGTATTATATCGTCTGTTAAAATTAAGGCAGTCAAACTTCTAACACTTTGTATAAAGCGGACATTTTTGGTTGCGGGGACTGTCTATTTTGTGGAAGAGCACGTGCAAGATAGAAAAGTCAAAGTAAAAACAGCTGCAACAAAAACAAACCTGTTTTGTTTTTGTTGCAGATATACAGGGTCGGAAAGTCCCCATGGTTTATCGGCTGTTACGTGAGAGCGATAAAGAAAGTCATAGAAATCCGTGCAATAAAGAAAGATGGCTATAATGAAGGCGTTTAATAGTCACCGCCCATTTCGCCCTTCCACAAATAAGATCCACTTCCTATTTGTAGAAGGGCGAAATGGCCGGTGACTATTAGACGCCTTCATTATAGCCATCTTTCTCTATCGCACGGATTTCTAAGACTTACTTTATAACTCTCACGAAACGGCCGATGAATCATGGGGGCTTTCCGACCCTGTATTTAAATTTTGGAGGTTATGTTCCCATTATTGTTTGTTGTTGTAACAAGAAGTGAGGTTATCCGCAACGCTTAGGTCTTCTGATCTATTGTGCATGCCGCTAATAAGAGTTATTTTAAAATGAATTCGGTTCGTGTTTCGTGTGAAGACAAATACTAGCTCTGCTGGAAGGAGGGAGGTAACAGACAAATGTTGCCTTCGGGTTTTTATGTTTTCTTTACCAATAATCAAGGATAATGACAGGAAATGTATGTAATCCTCATCTTTGTGACGAATTCTTTTGAAGTCTTATTTAAATGTTCGTGATCTTTAAAAACCCTGTTACAATCCTAATAGTAGTGGTGGGCGCCTATTATTATTGTTGGATTTCTTGTTCCTTTAAAAAATACACCAAAATTCTCTGATATATATATTTATTCTGTTAATGAATATACATAAATTCGATGATTATCATTTCAATATACACCATCAAGATAAATAGATTTAAATCACAATATTTAGATATTAAAAATGTGTATTATACATGATCACAATGAAAACAGGCTATATATTTTAAGAGTGCCGTTATTTATAAGAATGTGCAGTTCTGTGCCATTTTTTGGTATCTAATTGTATGTAAACTTGTATAAACTATGAAATAATCTAAATAATAAGTATCTAACAGTTAATGATTAAAATCATTATAAAATATAATAAATATAACAATAACTTATATTAGAATATTGATTTTACAAGAGCACAACTCGTTTTTTATCTTCAAAAATCATGATGATTAAATCGAAATATGTAGCAAGCAACCAACAATGCACTGTATTAAACAGCTTCAGCGGATTAAGATTTTGATACCCAATAAGAGTGCTGTCAATCAATACTCTAATACAAATCGTCAAAATATGTAACATATCTTTGGATATATTAGTTCACTGAACTAAAATTGAATGAAATAGGTATTTACCGCAACTGGTATACTTATAGATATTTAAAAATTGCCATTCCTGCATCTCTCTACAATAAAATATAGATTAACTGTAGATGCAGGAGATAAGAGTAGATTTAGTAAAAATTAGTTCTTATTTAATTATTTTAAAATTGCCTCAAGGTGTACTGTGTTGGTTAAGGCTAAGGTTCTGAGGCCATCCTTATCCTCGCTGATTCCCTGGACCTATTGTGAACTTCGGCCGTCCTTAGGGTTATTCCGAAGATGTCCTCGTGGTATCTGTTTTCATCCTAAAAAAAATGAGTGATATTAATACAGGGTGATTTATTAGGATATGTTTCATTATCAATTCCCAATGTAAAAGATAAGAAAAATCATACAGTCGCTCAAGTGTTTGATGCTGGTTTAGTCAAGACCTTAGTATAAAGCTGCGATGCAAAAGTGTAACAATGGTAACTTTTACTCCTCAAGAACATAAGTTGCAGTTTGCACGAAGTATTCTGTTTTTGTACTGGAAAAGGTCACGTTGAAGACCAAGAAAATCCATGTTTATTAACCATTTCAGGAGACACACCTTACATATACAGGGAGATAAAAATAAAAAATTTAAACTACGAAGCCTAGTTAAAAATGATTACAAATTTTGAAAGTGAAAACAGATTGATTTTTCATAATGTTATTATAATTGCAGACCCTTGTGTAAGACGGGAGTAACTGCAAATATACAGGGTGTCCCACCAGGAATCGCCACTAGTGATATCTCGGAATAAATAACAAATTAAAATAATCCTCATTAGTATAATTTAAACGGTTTGTATTTAAATTTTAAAAACTATTACAGACTCAACAATAACTTGACAACTAACTTGACAAATGTCAAGTTATTTTAATTGTTTTTGAGTGTTGCAGTATTGGAGTGTTTCTGGTCATGGCCAATTTGACAACAGGTCTGATACAAGAAAAACTGTCCAAAAAATAGAAAATTGCAAATATCTCTAAAAGTAGTAACGGCAACCCTAACAATGCTTATATGCTATGGCTTGAAAGGAAATTTCAATCTACATACGTCAGAGAAAAAAATCGGGGTATTCCATTTAAGTTAACAAAGTTATATCTGTTTGAACTTATCAAAATGTAACAGCAAAATGAAACACCTAGTATTAAATGTTTTAATTTCTTGTTATACCATAATTCAGTGTTATCTATGCCCTTTATAGGTACCAAAAATCCACTTGATATCACGCACCTAAAAAGAGTTACTAGCATCTCCGCGGACCCTTGCATCTGTCAAAATTTTTTCTTAAAACATGTATATCTCAAAATCTATAACTTCTAGGTGTAGGGAATATTTAATAAAGTGACCCTCAAATTTCACGTAGAATCCGAAAATGCAATAATATAAAGGGTGTCCCGTTTAAAATAAGAAAGTTAATGTCGACTTCCAGTATAACCGGAAGTGCCATAAAGTTCTAAATATTTTAGCTGTGTTGAGCCAACTGCCTTTGCTAGGTTGACACATTTTTAGATTTATGAACGAGAATGAAGACATCCTTCTTTCACCAAAGTCTTCAATTGAAGTGCGTGATATAGCGATGCGTATTTTTTACTTGTCTGTTTTTTCAGTGTAGTATTAATAAAAATAACCGTTTAATGATATTTTTGGTGTAAAGGCTCCTTTAATTAATTTTTTAATTTTTTTCACAAAGAAAAATATACCAATAAACAAATGTGAAAACAAGTTAAAATTTAAATATTATTGAATGAGTCCATTGCACCCTTCATATTGTTAAATGTATTACAGGATCACGAATTTCTTCGAAATGAATTGCCTGGACTTCTTGAAGATGTGCCCTTAACTATTCTTGCACGATAAATGTTCGAGATTGCCTTAAAGAAGCTCAAGAACATAGACTCAAGAAGTACAGTGGATTGGACGAGGAGGACCGGTAGCATGGCCATCGCGGTCTCCCGACATAAACCCCCCCTGACTTTTTTATAGGAATATTTAAAAATTGATGATTTGCAGTAAAGTACAACTATAACTAGGTACGTCAACGTATTGCAGCTACTATAAGTGATTTACGACTGCAAAACCAGCGAGAAGCCGGAATATCCTGGTCTTGCTGCTTCAAAACTGAATCTGACGTGCTTAAAAGTGCTTACGAGCCGGTGCAAAAAATTTTTTAACAGTACTTATTAACAATTACAAAAGCAATAATTAACTTCACTAAAATAAAACAACTGTGATTTATTGTCCCGTTAAATTAGTTTTTTGCGCATAATCTTTTTGTATATGTTGATTAATTGTGCGTGCATGTAGCTCGATAAGTTATTACAGCCGACTAAATTACAATGGCGTGTAGATAAATATTTTTAAACAATTTTCGAACTGTTTTCTCACGTATCAACTTTTTGCGAGTATTTTATTATCGTTCCTATTGGATTCATTCATTCACATTTCTCGGTAAGAATATTTTATATTTCCTGTAATCAAATAAATCACCCCAAACCAGGTTTATTTTCAACCAACCGTGTTTCGTAACAATCATTTGCAGAGCTTTTTTAAAATTAGTCAGTATGTACAAGATAGTGAACTGGAAGTAAAAAATTTAAAAAAATCTATAAGAACCTGTCGTCTAGCTTTCACTATTTTTTACGTTCATTATTATAGTATTCGTCACCGTTTAGTTGCTGAGCTCTGATGAATACCTAGTTAAAAGTGCTGAAACGTTAGCGAAAGAACTGATGTAGTTTTTCTCGTTCTACGTCTTCGACTGTCCGAAATTTTTAACAAAACATTAGGTTTCACACATTTATCACTTCTGTTGTTCTGATTATACAGGGTGATTCGGTCATGACGTTATTACTTTTAAGGGAATGTAGGGAAAAATGATTAGAATACGAATGCTCCCTTAAAAAAATTTTAAATGCATATTTACGCTGAAAAAAAATATTTTCAAATCATTACTTAAACCCTTTTTTTGGACCGCTCATGACCGCTGACCTACAAAGGTTTATCGAGAGTGAATCTTGACATACCTTCGGTTATTAACCTAGCCTTTAATGCGTTTTTGATCTGTATTAAACTACAACGAATAAACAGTGCTTCTTAGGTATTAACGAATGTTTTTTTTAAAACTATAAATTAATAAGAAATTTTATTGCTTAAGATTTTACGATATTTGTTATATTTGAAATATTAATAAGTATTATTTATTTGTTAATAAAAACAAACGCATAAGGATAATAATTGTTTGCGAACGTTAGGTTATTGCAGTTTAGTATTTTATTTAAGTACTCATTCGCCCATAAAGTCTTAATAAAGTTTGGATCCGCTGCATTTTGATTTTGAAATCAATTGCAAAATTAAGGGGTAATTTGCGTATTTTTTAAAAGCTTGAGAAATTTTTATTTCAATTCCTTGTATATTAGGCCTTCCAAGTATGAGGTAACAAAATTAATGACATTATGACTGAATCATCCTGTATATTCTGAACCCGAATATTTTTTTTTACAAATTTCTTCGCATCTAAATCTCAATAGGAGAGGAATTATGGATCGCGTTGAAATTCCCTAACCACTTTTCAAGACAACACACAGCAATACCGCCCGAAATCCGATGCATTATGCATTTATGCATACCTGCGGGAACCTGCGAATCCAATTGTGATCCGTAACAGTGCCCGCGGTCAGCGAAACTATTCCGTAATACATCGGAATTGGAATTGGGAGTCGCGCGAACTTTCCTCGAATCGTTAACTTTGTGACTAACTGCCCGATTGGTCTCTAAGCGTGAAGGGATGTTTCCGGTTGATTAAGCCGAGCGTCATTGCATCCACTGCAAGAGCGAACAGACACAACAAACTAACTTCATTTCAAAGGGAGAATACCGCCGGAGCTTATACTCTCATCACGAGAGTTCATTGATTTGAAAGTTGATAAACTCGATGATTTCCACTGCAATGGAGAGCGACAGTGATACCTTCGTCGCGATATTGAAGTTTCATCTTTAAAAAGATAATTCATAACCTAACCTATCTCTTGACTTAAAAGTCTATCCAGAAGAGGTAAAGAAAGTTGCTCGGTAAGTAAGAAAGGTATGTAGAAAGACACATGTAAGCTTATCTAGATATTATTCAATAGTCTCGCTGCAATAAAAGCCTTAAATTAGCATAAGCTGTTTTCAAAACTTGATTGAAACTATTTGCAATGCAAACACCAAGACGGTTAGACTTGGCATGAAGGCATTGATGGAAACGATAAAGCAGATAAACCTGTTAAAAAAAGGATATTGAACAGTTGTCGTATGCGTTTGGATTTTGTTACAGTACTGTTAAGACTTTGGGGAAATGGGTGTAAGAAGAACATCGTGAGAAATGCATTTTGATATTGAGCAGTTTTTTGATAGTTCCGAGGTATTGTATTTGTTTTTAATATTGTTTTATCTGATTTTATTTATTCTGTTCCAATCAATGTCAATTTTAATCTGTATTTATATTTTTACTAATTTTAGGATTATGTATGTATCTGTATTTGTAACTGTGTTGTAATTTGAAAATATCAATGTTTCTTTTCTGACGTGTGTAAACACTTTGTGTAATAACACGAATCAATAAAAATGTAAAAATGTAAAATGTAAATGAATACTGAAGACCAGGATGGACTCAATCCATGAAAATAGTAAAAGTTCTTTGGCAGAAGAGAACTGAAGAAGTGCTGACTGCTGAGTAAGAGCAAGGTTAGGTTCAGAAAAATCGCAGGAGTTTTAAAGTTTGAAGTGGCATATTTACAACATGAAATCAGTAAGCAATTCGAACTTGTCCAATTCGTCCTTCTAGGTAAGTCTTAACGAGTAGACTTTTGGACTTTACACAAAAACCAAATGTGCTTTTAGCGGATACATAGTAAGAAACTAAGCCACAGCGAGAATCGACCCATAGGAAAACACAGAAAGAAGTTTTCAAATTTACATGTAATTTTCCGCGTGGTCTTAAGTTCTAGAATAAAAGAAACTTACCCTTAGGGATAACATGTAGGACTGCACTTGACTCTCGTTCATGCCACCATATTTTTGGATAATAGCCTTCAAAGTCTGGTAAACGTGCTCTGCCATAGTGCAGTCACCACACACGTAGAAATGACCCTTTTCTAGTACCAGAAATTTGTAAATTTCTGAAGCCTCTTTCAGAGCCAAGTTCTGCACGTAAGTCTGAAAAAAGAACAATAGTTAGAGGCATAAATATTCTTATTACCAACAGGACCAGTAAAATGATAAAATATATAGTCCCAGTCCTGATTTCTAGTGGTTAATCAATGGGGCAAGTTACCCTTACCTTTGGTATATTCGGGTCTCTCGACAAAGCCAAGAAGACCCTATCCAGTACTCCAACTTTCTCCATTTCAGCCTTTTCCTCTTCATACAAATTCATATCTCTTGTCTGGCAACCGAAGAACAGCCACACTTTTCCCAGTTTCTGCTTCTGCTTCAGCTGGGCGTATCTGTGCTGCCAGAAGCCTCTGAACGGAGCTACTCCGGTACCAGGCCCAACCAGGATGATGGGCCTTGTTGAGTCGTTTGGTAAGTAAAAGTTTGGTGCGCTAAAATACAAAAATTACAGTTTTTGGAAAGATATTCGAAGAAACTCATGATGTTATACCTTCGCACGAAAACGTATACGTCTTCGTTTACAGGAACATCTTGAAGGTAATTGGAACACACTCCATAGTGTGTAGGGCCTTCTTCATCTGTAAGAATTTATATAACAAGCGTCCAAATTGATATAAACTATCACTACTTACCTTCTGTTTTATACACTACAACTGCTACAGTTAGATGTACTTCGTTTGGATGAAGCGCAGGACTAGAAGAAATGGAGTAAAACCTGGGTTGTAGGATGCCGAGTTGGGCTACCAAAAGCGGTGCGTAAGGTGTAACAGAAGGAAATTCCTCAAGTGTTTCCAGGAGGTTGGGGAACCTCCAATGCCTCCAGTCTTCATACGCGGCAGAATCCTGGAACATTTTATGGTATTTTTTACATTTTTAATATATTTAAGGGCTTACAGTGGCAAGTAAGTTCAATTTTCGTTGATCCTCTTCGTCGGTAGCGATTGAAGCAAAGTGTTGTAACAAGTTTGGTGTTGGTGGTGTGGTTATATCGAGATATCTGGTGAATAGTTCTTTTATGGAACAAGATGGAAGGCGCTCGTGAGGTTTCCAGTTCTTTACAACGCCTAGAATAGAAGTTTTAATTATATGTATTTCCTGTTATAAGGATAACTCAACATTTTACAGTCAGATGATCAGTTTTTTTCGAAAGTTCTACTACAAGTTTCGTCACTCACCATTTGAAGTGTGCGTTTCCTTCAAGAATTGAAGAATAGCCGACGAATTTTGATCATTAACCCCCTTAAGCCTCTTAATGATCTTTTCCACCAATTCGGGTTTGTTCTTGGCGAAAACACCCAAGTGATCTCCAGGTTTGTACGGCAGATGGTTCCTGAACTGAAGCAGTAGAGTGGTTTTTGGAGATTTTTCCCCGTGAAGATTTTTCCTGTTTGTTAACGTTAGAGCAGAAACCTGGAAATGAAACGAGGAGTGATTTTTCCTCTACCGCTTCGCTTAAACTAGAAAATACCTTCTTATTGTGGCACTTCGCCAACGCTGCTACAAGGTTTTCTGGTTTGGAATCTAAGAAGCGCACATTCTGGGCAGTTAAAGATTCGCTTTGAAGGGACATCGTTGCCTCCAAGAAAGCATCGTCGTCGTCGAGGCAGAAGGTTTCACAAGCCACCTACAAAGTTCAAAACTGCTATAATGCTACCAACACATGATTTAGATAGAAACTTAAGTATATTTTCTTTCACCAATAGCTTTTATGATTCGATGATTATTACCTGGAAGATTTGTTGGGCCCACTTCCTAAAGGCTTGCTCCTGGCCACACATTTCGTCCCCTGTGGCTAATTTCAGCAGTCTCTCTCCTCCCAGTTCCCCGAGTAAGTTGTCCACGTATTTTCCAAAAGCACAGAAGTTAGGATATGCGCTGGATCCAAGAGCGAAAACAGCGAACCTTGATATTACAAAATAAACTATTAGTACCTGTCGAAATTCATTGAATTAATCGTGCAAATGTTCAAGTCTACAATAACCAACTAGATACACATAAAGTTTACCTGTAGCATGCAAATAAAAAAGTTATCAATATGTAGTGCAAATGCCATCAGGTATGTGAATCTAGACATCGTGGTAGATGAAGGACATGTCCAGTATGCTTTAATTTTAATTTTCAGAGATGCTTCCTGGTGAAATAAATACGAAATATGTTTCACGATCTTTTAAACATGGAATCTCGATTAGATTAAAAAATACAAGCTCGGTCAAATTAAGGAGAAATTTGTGAATGATGAAGCTAAGAGAAAATAATTTTCAGTGTTTCGTCAATAACTTCGAAACTGACGAACATGGATCAAACTCCTTTTGGCGTATTATTTTCCATCAATTCTGCAATTTTGTTCTCATTTTACCGAATTTATATGTTTTAAAATAAGATAATGCCGTTTGAAAAGCGAGAGTATTCGTAAATGGTTGATAGTGTTCGTAAATGGTTGATAGTGAGACCAAAAATTAGTGAATTTTTTGAACAAAACGTAATCATGCATTTTAAGAGAAAGAAACTAAAGGAGACATTGATACAAATAAATATCAGTACACTATCATGATCACGTTATGTTCTCTTCCTCTGAACGTTTTGTCTTTTGGTAACCATCATCAGTGCCATTTTTATATATCGTAACATCTACTGGCGTGCATCTGAGATGAAAATCGTGCATATTTTCATACCCATCAATGCAGTGCCACAAAAGTGCAATACCATTACATGCAGTCATGCACATAAAACCACTCCGTTTTCGTGCTTTCTCACCTAACGTTACTGAGCGGGCCGAACGTATCTTCAATCAAGGGCTCGCTTAGGACGGACCCTCGTAGTGAATTCAACCTGTCTAATTTTTTACTGACCGTCGATATTTCGCTCTGGCTGTTGGCCTTAATAAACGACTTCGATGTAGCCATACTGTTTACAGAAACCAGAAAAAGTTGTGTGTTAATTTGTTCGCACAAACATGCAAATAGATTTATATATGCCGTCCATGAAATGGAGTTTTTATTCCGATTTTTCAGTTTGTTTTTGCTGTGATTATGAGATATGTTTAGTGCAGGATATCTCTGTTAACTCTTGGAGATAAATTTATATGTCCAAGCAAAAATCCAGGATCTTGATGTCGATTTTTTAGATAAAAAAAATTCATACGTTTTCACTGGATTTAAACTGGAGTGTTTTTTTGAAAAAATGTTTTTTTGAGAAGTTTATTCTTGTTCTTTCCAAAACCTTAAAAGATTTTTTATAAACTTGGGGAGGATTCTTTAATGACAATCGGCACAACTGCAAAACGGTGTTTAAAATTAATAATTATAAAAATTGTTAAAACTTATTGAGAACCTCTGGAATTGTGCCCACAAAAAAATTGTTGTAGCTGTAGATAGCGCGCCGAACGATTTTTTTGTGGCAAAAAGAACTACTAATTCAGTCAGAGTTCTACTTTGGGTTTCATTACAAAAAACGTGTATTTTTTTATTGTTAAAGCTTTAAGCAAAGTTATTAGCAAATGAATGTTCATGTGTAGTTACTTGTTTTTCTGAACTTAAAACCGTGTTTATAAAACAACACAATAACGAGTTAACATACATTGCTGTAACATATGCAACCGCTGATGAAAACTGTGTAAATATTTGTAATCGGTGCCAGCCGAAATGGAGTCAGCGGTTCTAAAAATGTTTCTTCATATTGTTGTGGTAAGTCAGGAGGTATTAAAAAAATATTATATTAAACAATAAATATTCTGTCATTCTAGCTTTCACACTCCTTACAAGTTTGTAAACGTCAAGATTTAGGGAATTTTCGTAACCAGTACCAATCGTGCAATGTTGGGTTGCCTAAGCTGGACGATCACGTGGTTTGTAAACATTTCTGAAGGCTCTATACAAAGAAATAGCTAAATCTAAACAAGGCTGACATGCAATAATAGTAAACAATTAAACCTGAATAAAACATAAATAATATTTAACCTGGTTTAACATTGTAATAGTTTCGGTTATAATTCTTATAGCACTAATAAATAAAAAATAAAAATCTTTGGAGGTTAGGTTAAATAAGAACGCAGAAAAAATATTAACCTTTAGTTTAGAAATAATGAAAACATTTTTGAGAGAAAACCTTTGTCGTAAATGCGTTGTTTTAAGAAAGTGTTCAAGATATTTAAAAAAAAATCATAGGAGCACAAATTACGCTTTAAAAAGGGAACTGACTTTCCCCATGTTTACGACACTAGTAATTTGCACTATAGAATTACTGTGACAAAATTTATGAAGCTAATTTTTTTAATATTAACTAAGATACAAATTTTTTTAATTCGAAAATATCTTAGGAAAGATGCTTTTCTCGATCAAGGTATATATAAACTTTTTGTTTATTTTGTATATCAAGAATGTCGCCTTAAGGGCTATTTCTAATATTGAATAGAACATATCAGATTATAACTCGAAACCTAAACAGGGCACCGAATTTATGTTGAGATAGCTGAGGAATAATATCTTCAACACTTGACACTTACAGTAATAATAATAATTCTCTCAAATTAACAAGAAGTGAAATATTGCGTAAAGAAATAATTGGTTCATTGTGTATACTTGATAGAAGCGCGCGCGCACACACAGCTAAATCGCAGCGTATGTAAACCAGCAAATTCAGATAAGCGGAAATCGTACGACGCGCATATAGTCTAATTAAATTGGCATTTAAATAGCAATTGTGGCCAACTTGCCTGAATTTTTGATATAAGTTAGTTTGAGGTATATAAAAACAATATGTGACAGTAATTAAAAGATAAAATAAAGCGGTTTTTCAAGATAACTCGAAAGGGAGTGAGAGGTAGAAAAAAAGTTTCTTATAAAAGTTGTACTGATACTAATTGTTAGACAATATTATCATGTGGTGAGTTACCACAACCACGTCAAGGCCATTGGTCCTTAAAAGACATTCATGTGTACCATCCCGTGGACGTCTGTATTTTCAGCTCCAGCAACGCCCATGTGTTTTACGAGTTGACATTAAGGGCTAGATGGGGTTATATCGTCACTAATAGGAAAAGTTCTGCCAGGGAACGTAGCTCACGGAGTGCAACACAACAGCGGAAAATACCCCGACTCAACCGCCGCCGCCGCGCCGGTCAGTGGACTTGAAGTCCAGCTATGCAATTAAATTTGCCCACCCTTAACGGCGTGTTGTTTAACGCATACTTTAGTGGGGTTGTTTGTCTTATTTGTCCGGAAGTGTTGTATCAGAAGAATTTAATTAAAGCGATATTTTACAAAGTATTTTTAATGACTTAAACAGTTCAAAATATTGTCATACAGGGTAGTGGCGGCTCGGGACATTGTGAATAGGTGAGACTGGTGGCTTTTTTACTAGGTTGGGCAAGAAAAACAGTGCCGCAGGCAAAAATCTTTAAATTTTCAAGGTCAAACCACTAAATTCTTCTGAAAATTGTTAGTTGCATTTATAATATTATAGAAAAACTGATGTTAACCAGCAACTATTTTAGACAAGGTGAAAACCTCGCATTCGTGGGAGAAATTATCCGACTCGATTTTTTTGCATATTCAGATTCAAGATGATGCCGGCCGGAAATCCGGTGCACTTTTGCTTAAACAAACTTTCTTAAACAAATTGTAAAAATTGTTTTTTTTTTTCACTCCGGAAACTTTAGGCTTTTTGGCACATTATAAACAAAAAAGTTCCTATGTACTATGCCTCTAAAATTGGTAGTTTTAATGTTATAAACGATTTAAGTTGCTAAAAATGCGAAAATGATGATTTTCAACGGCCGATTTCCGGGTTAAAAATTGTTATTTTTTATGTTGCCAGGTGCCTAAATTAAAGTTAAACATCCCCCTACAAGATGCTGAAGAGCCTTTGGGTTAATAAAGCGCTATGACCAGCGCGTGCGCCTCTCATACGCGGAGTGAAAAAAACAATTTTTACAATTTGTTTAAAAAAAAGTTTGTTTAAACAAATGGGGACTAGATGTTAAGGAACATCTCACGAATCTGAATATGTAAAAAAATCGAGTCGGAAAATTTCTCCCACGAATGCGAGGATTTCGCCTTGACTATTTGGATATTTTATTAATCCGCTCTCAAATAATAGGAATAAATTTCCACGTCATTTTTTATTATGGTGATCTTCGCCAATAGCCTTACTATAACCGCAAATTAAAAAATTATGTTATTAATAATAATATCAGAACGTGAAAAATTGTATTTACAATAAAATTAAGTAACAGAAAAAAAAACAAAGTGATATATTTACCTAATAATTAACAAAATTGTTCCTACTTGGTTAAAAAATATGAAAAAATATAAAAACTAATTTTCATAAGGTAACAGCCAACTTATTTATTTAGATATAAAACAACGCCGCCAGCTTTTCGTTTGCCTGAACTTTTAACAAAATATTTTAAAAACATAGTGACTGTTTTTACGAAACATATTTATTCGTCCGTCTTTTAAATTTGCAAATTTACTTCAAATTTTATAAAATTGAGGATCGGCACTAAGACTTTGCAATAGTTCTTTTTCTATCGTCATCACTGATAGCGCTTGTTTGGGCACAGTATTTCTAAGTCTCAATGCGCTTAAGACACAAAAGTTTCTTTCTACCGAAACACTTGTTGCACGAACTGTTAAAACTGGGCAAAACAATTTGTATGGTTCCGAAAATACCATTTTATATTCCTTGTCTAATATTTCTATGGTTTTTTGAACTTTTAAATTGCGAAACTGTTCGTCTCTGTCCAAAATATTAAGTTCGTTTTTCAACCTATCTATTTCAAGAACGTTAGGATACATTTGTAATAAACATTCAAACGATTTCTCGGGAAATTGGTTTGCATATTGGGCAAATTTTGAAGAATCTATTAAAGCAAAAAATTTAAATCATGTAAATTTCCAAAACGAGTAGATACTTAGATTAAGGGGAATATATTTCCAAAATATTTTTAATTCGTCGCAACTTTTGCCCCGTTTACTCGGTAGTCCAATAATATTTTTCGCACAATTAAAAATATGTTTAAATTTTTCTTCGTTTCTTAATTCAGAAATTCTTTGACTAGTGATTTTATTTTCATTTGATAGAGCAGTATGTTACGTCATTACGTCTTAAAACAGGTGTTTCAAATAAAACAATATTGTGATACAGATTCATTATTAGCTACCTATGTAGTTATTTGATAATATAATAAGTATCTATTAAATTACGTTAAATTTAGTCTTACTTCGTTTTGCTGTAAGGAAGTTGTTTTTTATTTACTTTAAATTAATATCTGCTTTATCCTTATCCTTAAAGCCCTTGTAATATCCCTCACACTGACACCAGACACTACCCACGTACTATGCGATGCGTACATTAACCGCGAACTTAAAGACTGAAACTATAGCTTTGAGCTGGCCTCAGTTCTCTCCTAAATCACGTTATTTTAACCGCCTCGCTTGGAGGGGGAACTGTAGCCTATTGTAGGCAAGTGTGACGCGCCTACAAGCAACGAATTTCTGGCCTCACTGTGGTGGGGACTAGTGGGGAGTAACGATGGAAACGGCGAGCGGCGAGATATTCAATATTCAAACAACTATTTTATACTGTTGTTTCGATTTTTGATAAATGTAATAGGCAACTGGAAATTAGTTTACCTAACTGTTTATTTAGGTTAATTATAGAATATACGGTTAAAATATACAGTGTGAGTGCCAAATTCAGTTGCTTCATACGACGAGCCGCCAGTGAGTACAGGGTGTTTCACGATAACGTACCATAAACGGTAGGAGATATGCCATTCATCTACTTTTGAAGATATTGGTAAAATTTATTTAAAAAAATAATTTGAACACCTGTACCTTCAAAACAAACGACGACAGACCTATGATGATTTTTCAAATGGAGACAAACCTTGTTTTTAATAAGGAAGTCCCGTATTTTGTTTCATTTTTGGATCATACGATTTTAATTTTGGACATAGTTTAACGTTTTCCTACTCCTATTCGTAACGGTTTTTGAATAAAATAAGGGATAGGAAAGGGAAATCCAAAGTAACCTACATGATCTAACTCTGTAAAGAATTAGTAAAAAATTAGTACCTAGGTCAAAATTTGTACGAAAATATTGTCATGAAGACATGTCAAGTACCTACTTAGTCTGTGGTTAAAGCTCTATTTCGAATGACCCAATTTGTAAAATATTTCCATCTTAATTAAACGAAATGGCAATAGTGTACAAGGAAACATTAAGATAATTCCCAAGATTGCGTTTAATAAAGATTAGAATGCTGCTAATGGCGAAACTCGTTCTGTAAATGTGGAATAGCCGTTTTCATTAAGAACATACGACCCTAAAATAAAATAACGCCACAATATACGTTCAGAATTTTTTTTTACGATTTTCACTAATAGATCCTGGAAGACCAAGACCCTGCACGTTCCAAAACATTTTTAATACGGAAATCGGTTAACGTCGAGTGAAAATAGATTTTCATACAACGTCGAAATATGAATGGAAAGAGGAAAGCTTTCTCTCTGATTAATGTTCTAATAAAGCAACTGTCGGACTAACAAACGCAGATAAAACAACAGAGAAACGCGACGTGTTACTGTAGCAAGTAAAGTGACTTATCAGAAATGGACGCTTTGTTCTCAGGTAATATTGTTTTAATACCGGTTTATTCTAAATATTATGAAAATACGGAAAGAAGGAATCGTAATCGTAAACTGGAATAAGGTTTATGCAGAAGAACAGCGGGACACGGAATTGATATACGGATATAAATATGACGCTTTATGATAATATTCGCAGCAGAGAGATAATAAAATTTTTACCCTTAAAACTATAAACTATAGTCGTCTAGGGAGATCAAGTGCTAAAAGCCTTGCTTTCCCACAAAGAAAAAACTTGAGATGAGGTAAATCTGGTAAAGGTAATGGTGATCTCACTGACACATTACTAATCCAATTCGTGTTAACTGAAAAAATGTGTCATTGATAATAAAATCCAGCACAGATTTATACTTATGTAATTGGTAACGGCTTTTTCCATGAAAAAAATACTTTTCATATTTTTTAGTCTCATGAATATCGCAAAGTCAATGGAATAAGGTTTGGAGTATATTATGGCAGTTCTGTATATAAATAAAGCGATTTGTTTGAGATAAATCTGAATGGAGATCGAAATAGTTACTTCATATTCATATTATTAGAATAATCAAAGTAATTCACATCTTCAATTATACTTCCCCTGAATATATAAAGTGCAAATAAATTGACATTAACAATGGCTTACCTTAATTTTTCTGGATCTCCATTAGATATTCCATTTTCGTTCATTTTTAGGGTATACAAATTTTTCGCGAACTCCTGGAAAGAATTAAATACCAATGAAATATATGACCAGTGTTATTAACATTATATTTATAGGTGTTAAAGCCTGCAGAAAATTTGGTATAGGACTTTTGCTATCCTTAATCGGTTACTTCTTTTTTCTACCAGTAAACATTGCCAGTGCCAGATCAGCAGTTATTTAAAATAAAAACAATTGTCCTTGGAAAATCTGATTTTCCAGAGACAGCAGCTTGGCATGTACATTCTAGACTACATGAACTATTTTAATTATATTAATACAGTAAACTGGCGGAATAGGCGGTACTCGTATTTGATTTGACCTTACGATTTTGTGCGAATACAATTACAAAAATATATCCGCACATACATTCAATCCAAGGTGTTAGAAGTTAGAAATATTTTTTAAGTTTTCTATATAAGACCTCTAAAAATAATATATGTTTTATTATCTTTTTTCCATACTTTCTATACCGTGTTGCCTTCTAAACTGATACGTCTATGGATCTCCGCACGCTTCATCCTCCTTACTAGTCTAAAGGCTCGTTCGTTGTTACGTTATGGAGCATTGCCACAAATGGATAACCGCCTTAACAGTTAGCGATGAGTCACTCTCAATAATTTCGACCGCGAAGTATAGATATCAGTTAAAAATAAACGAATAATATTTCCAATCCTTATTATTAAGGCACACGTTCTTTTTGGCAGTTTTACCCGTACAGTTTTATCTGTACGGATAAACACGAACAACGGTAACAGCCACACACAAGACGTGTTTTCCGTTCAGTTTTTTTGAAATCGTGGTGTCATTAACATCAACCGTTCTGTGATACGACAACACTGGCAGTGGCGACGGCAATTGCTATAAAATTTAAATCTAAAAAACAAAAAAAAACGTTCAAAATGGGTTAAAGAATGGTTACTTAAAAGAAAACAATTTTCACACGTAAATCTTTTGCATGAATTATGATTAGAGCCGGGAGATTGGTTTAATTATTTGGGAATGGACGAAGAAACTTATTTAGAGCTGCTTACTTTAGTAACACCATTAATTCAAAAACAAGATACCTTAATGAGGCAAACTATTACACGTCTTACCACTACACTTAGATTTCTTGCTACTGGCAGAAGTTACGAAGACCTAAAAAAAGACCTAATGTGATGTCGCAAAATACAAAAAATGCACTGCAAAAGACTTCTAGCACTTCACTGAAAAAAACGTCCTTTTTAACCGCGTTGTCACACACACGTACAGACTTGAACGAACACGTTCAAAACGGATGGTTTTAATCAAGCTGGGACAGATATTTTTAAACGCGGGGAAGAACGACGGTTTTTAGCCACACACCGGCAGTTTTACCCGTACAGATAAAACTGTACGGGTAAAACTGCCAAAAAGAACGTGTGTCTGTGGGGGCCTTTAGAGTTGATACCACAAGACGGAGATATATTCAATGCGCACCGAGTGCAAAAGTGCAAATAAATCAAAACTTTTGTTATTCTAATCTAATTAAGTTCAAGTTGCAAATAAGGACAATAAATATAAATAAATACAATCAGAACGTACCTCTCCGTTTTCTGGAGGGTCTCCGTTACCAAATGTGGAAGTGACGACCAAGAGAAGGGCTTCGTGCTCGATACTAGAGATGTCGTAGTCTTGCATGCTGTACACTTGAGCGTTGAAGGCATGTCCAAAAATCTCCCCCAGTTTCTTGGCGTATCCCTCCGATTTACCTGTTTCTGTGGCGTATAAAACCGTAGCTTTGATACGGCGGGATAGAGCCCTGCCGAACAGTTTTGACGTGAATTTGACAGCCCTGAAATAGAAGAAAAAAGGTAAGGTAAGTATTTGACTCAAAATCATTTCCAGATTATTTTAAAGTACAAGTATTTGTTTGTAGATTTTTATAGGTAATTATTTAGAACAACGACGCCAGTGAATTTCTGTACTTTTCAGAAAAACATATGTACACGGATATCTTGTACAAGGTAAGAGCTTAAATGTTCGCAAAATCAATTTATCAATTATTCGACTATATTGCACGAATACATTTCCTAATAGATATTAATTATTTTTTTTAATGGAGTACCAAAATACCCAAAAATACATAAAAATATAAAATGGAAAATTACCTGGCAATTTGCTTGAAGTGGAATTTTCTTCGAGGTTTCTTACTCTTTCCAGAATCTCGTCCTTTCTTCCATACGTGGCATTTCCATGCGGGCTCCTAGAATAAATAAATTTCCTCAATTCCCTCAAGTATACCAACGAACAAATAAGGTGCTTAAGTATATTGTTGGCATATATTTACTTCAACGGCTTTTTATAGACAGATACTACTTGAGCAGGTAATGTAGGATGATATTTTTTCATGTTACCTCATGATAACATTTCCAATGTCCCTTAGATTTTTAAATTGAAACAGGAATTTAATAAATTTACAATTTTTAGCCTCTAAAAAATATTCTGCATTTTAAATTGACGGAATTTGATATACTGGGGCTTTAAGTCATTCCAAATAAAACGTAGTTAGATTTGTAGTACAAAAATCCCCAGTGATTTTTCGAAAAATCGTCTAAAAAAAACGCAGCGTGGGATTTTAAAAGGGTGAGCAATCTGCCAAGATTTCTAACATTATATGACTGTTACTGTCAAACTTCCGGTAGGTATATCATTAATTACTGCAAGCTTTGAAATATCTGCTACACTGAAAAAAAAGTAGTTGGATCAAATGAGCAGATAGTTTTAAACGGAATTATTTGCCGTAAATGTTATTTTATTTTATTCAAATGCATATACTTTCGTCAAACTATGTGAAATATTTGCTGTAATCTATAATTTTTCTTAGAATTTATATTATTTGCAAATATATACATATAATTTAATTCAAACCTTTTATAATTTTGAATTTTTTATTACTGAGAAATATTTATAATATTTATATCCAACTATATTCTTAAAATAAGCATATACAATCATTTGATTTGACCAAAATTATTCAATTTTGTGTAAAACAAACGATACATTAACATACAATACAAAACAGGTTTCTATAAAATCTATGTATAGTAGGATCGTATTCGATGCAAAGTAGAGCAAAAAGTTGTCGGTCTTTTATCAAAGGAAAATCGTGTCATCATTTTTAGGAGGCGTAAGATGAACCATTTCAAATTTAAAATGAAATTCAATGTTAAATCTGAAATACCGCTGCATACGCACTGTGTTCTGGAAGTAGCTGTAGTCGCCCAGGTGCATCGAGTTTACGAAGTGGTCAGTTATACGTCAAATACTAACATGGCGAGCTTGATCTTAAAACAGAGAGCGCCCCCAAAAAACAAGTGGCGCGCACAGAGGTAAAATGTAGTACATATATGGAAATTAATAAACAAATTGGATTTATAATAAATTACATTTAAAATAAATAGTTTATGAGAATAAAGGAATTTTTGTAGGAACAAGGGTGCCAGACGTGAACTGATCCCTTTGTCCCTTCATAATGTATAAAGAAATTATTCAATTTCTAAAACCCTTAAAAGCGTACTGCATTGGTTTCCTTGATTTATACTTTGCATCGAATATGATCCTACTATAGATCATAAAATTCAGAATAAAATTCGTTTAACCGTAAGTATCAAATATTTATTTTAAATTTAAAGTATTTAAATAAATAAATAATTTTCTTGAAAGAAGAAAATATTTTCTTGCGTATATATAAACGTGCGATACTTCAAAATCAAGTGTTGTACATTTGAAACAAGAAATTTTTTTTTGCTTGATACAATGCTGAAAGAATTTTTATAAAAAAGTAAGTATTCAGCATTATAAATAATTCAATGTTACTAACATCACAGAAAGCAGCCGAAGCCCTGTTAAATTGCGAAAGTGATGCAGTGTTTCGACAATAAACGAAAGTTTACGCAATTTGACGTCTTCTGGGAAACCTATTCGATATTCGTGCACTTATCGTCAGTTTACCTGATTGTAAAAGTAAGTAATAAATAGAGAAAAATACATAAAACTAACTTCAGATAAAAGCAGACATAATTTTATATTTTGGGGGCTGCTACAAACTTTTAAAACAAAAATTAACCGAGACTTCGAAATTTTCAAATAAATAAACCAGCGTCTGCTATATGTGTGCAATTTAGGACTTAATAAACTTTTTGAATGGCCAGTTCAAGCTGACGCCAGCGTCGCGCGTCGGGTCATTTGAAAAATAACTGGCTTAATTTGAGCTTCTTGGGACCCACCGTTAGGTACATACACTTCTGTTGACATAAATATTGTATAAGTACATTGTACGTCGCAATTTAGAAAATTTCATTTCAGAATCTGGTAGCGGATATGAAGTTCCACTGCAGAATTATTATTAATAAAACCTGGGCTTAAGTGTAGTTGGAAACGACAAGCTACAACTATGTTAAATTAAAAATTCAAGGAAATGTTTTAAGCATTTCATATACATAATTAAGTATTAAGAAAATACCTAGTACACATTTTTCTAAATTTGATGTCTCATAAAAAAAAGGAAATAACTAATAGACCAGTGCTTAAGCCTTCAAAAATGGTAAAAAGTGAAAATAAATTATAGCAGGATAAAACCCATTGGAAAAGGAAGAGAATATAACAGAAATTAAAAGAAAAATAATTTACGGGCGATCTGAGGTCGGGAAGGGGAAGGGGTGAGTATTTAAGGGTAAAAAATGGTTTATCTTGATTTCCGGAAAAACTACAAGTCTTATGGAAAAAAGTTAAATGGCAAAGTTGTAGGTAATAAAAAGATCTACAACTTTTGTATTTACACTTTTTTCACATAACCTCAAAATTTATGTGAAAAATTCAAATAACCAAGTTTTTGGTTTTTTATTTTTATCTTGTTGTAGATCTTTTTATTACCTACAACTTTGTTATTTAACTTTTTTCCATAAGACTTGTAGTTTTTCTGGAAATCAAGGGAAACCGTTTTTTACCCTCTAAAACTCACCCCCTACCCCTTCCCGACCTCAGATCGCCCGTAAATTATTTTTCCTTTCATTTCTGTTACATTATCTTTCTTTTCCAATGGGTTTCATCCTACTATAATTTTTTTTGGTTTCAAAAATTATCGACCCTGGTCTATAAGCAACAGAGATGCTCTCTGCTTTTTTTCAAATTTATTTTAGCTGTACTAAAAATGCCATCTTACTTGTCTAATTTGGCGAATTTCTATTGGCCTCTGCATCTTAGTTATTACAAAAGATAGCAAAACAATGTTAGAATATTTCAATACGTTTTTTTTGCAAAGTATACAATTGTGTAATCAGATTTATTCTTAATGTTATAATGTTTATAATGTTCAATGGCACCCCTTTTCTAATTGTATTTCTAACAATGTAACATAGTCTACAAAGAAATTGTTTTATTGCATATTACAATAAAGGCATAACATATATTTTTAGTATTTGTTATCTTAGGAGGCGAAATTTTATTGAAAATCCGTCTTAGAACTCTTTGAATATCATAAAAAATGTATTGCTATATCTTGTTACTTTTGTAAAACTTTTCAAATTTACTTCGAGATATTTTAATTGGTTATATTTCCTTGCTGAAACCTTTATTAAGCTTTGGAAATTTTGTTTATGTGTCAAAGAGCTTTTAATATACCAACTTGTTCAGTATCATGGCTTTCAATCATGTAAATTTCATCAATCTTCAGGAGTTTCGCAAGGGTCAATCCTGGTGCCACTGTTGTTTGTTAGTTTTATTAATGACTGAACTGAATGCTTCGATGTCAACTATTTACTCTATGCGGACGACTTGAAGTTATTCTTGGAAGTTAAATCCTCTACTGACTGTACTACATTACAAGATAATCTTGACAAATTACACAGTTGGTGTTCATGTAATAATTTACCTCTGAATGTAAGCAAATGTAAAATTCTGTCTTACAGTCGATCCAAAACTAATCTATATTTTTATTAATAAAATTGGTGAATCTTTTCTAAATAGACGTCACGCAATTTACTGACCTTGGTGTTACATTTGATAATAGATTATTAGTTTAGTAACCAAATCTGCTTATAAAACTTTAGGCTTTATTTTGTGTAATTCTAAGGACTTTCAGAACGTAAAGGTTCTAAATAATTATGTTGTATGCAGCATTTGTGCGTTGCAAACTAGAATATGCATCGGTTGTTTGGAGTCCCATTTATAACGTTTATAATATTCAATTAGAGAAAGTACAACGAAGATTTTAAGAGACTGTTCACTTTATTAGTTATAGATTTTATCCTTCTTGTGTTGAACCCAAGGATTATAGTTTTCTTGTTTCAATTTTAATAGTCTCTGTCGTAGGCGAATTATGTTTTCAATTATATTCCTTTTTATAATTATAAATACTTTAAATATTGATCTGTTGGTTTCAAGGATTTTATATCATGTTCCTAGACTTAATTATAGATTTCACTCTGCTTTACAATTACCCATACCTCGTATAAGTTTACTATAGCATCTCCCCTATATCAAATGATTTCCAATTATCAAAAATATGAAGATCGACTTAACATATTTTCTCATTCTATGATTAACATAAAATAATTGTTTGTCTAGCACATGTAATCCTTATCTTGTACAAATGTTAGTTAGCTTATTTGTTTTGTTCGTTTGTTATTGTTTACACTTCAGTTTTTTTTTTTGTCTGGATTTGATATTTTGATTGCTCTCTTTTGTATAGCAGGTATTTTTATATTTAATGTTGGTTGGTCTATTTTTTTAATTTATTTAAGGTTTTCTGTATTACTTATCCTGTAATTAGGACTTTGTCCCGTTGGATATTGTAATTTCTAAATAAATAAATAAATAAATAAACAAATAAATAAATATTATTAGCTAATTTTACTGATGGTTAATATGTAGCAATGTAATGTACGTAAGGTAAACTTATAATTAGTACTAGATGTTCTAATAACAAGTAATAACAATAGCTATTATTTCATTAAGAGTGTAAACAACGTTTTATACTATTTATACAACAAAAAATATGATTTATAGTCATTATACAATTGCGTTAGCAATATTCATTTTATATCCATTATTCACCTGTTTATCTGTCACCTATCGTTAGAGATCAGAAATGTTAGGGCGTCTGCAATTTGGTACAGGGTTGGCTTTTATGTAATTTAGTCGAAGCTTTTAATAGAAGCTCTTTTTACTATTGGTGGCAAAGAATGAACTACTTCACATTTTAGT